GATTCATTCCACAGGACAGCAGTAAATGCATTGTTAAATCTATCTTTGTAATGGAAATGAAACTGTCTTACTAATAGAAGTATCATGTTCTGCTCTGGGATCTTTAAAAAATGGAGCTTAAGTAAGACTGGTTTGGGTTTTTTTTCCATTTCTCAAATCTCCCTTTCTTCTCATGATAATTCATTTCTATACTGTATGACTAATTCTCATGAAAACCATTTAAAATTTTTAATTCATTTCATGGCAGCTCTCAAAATTTGTAGTATCTAGGAATACTGTTAGATGGCTTAAGAGTTAAACAGCTTCCTGTATTATCAGCTGAAGTTACAAAGTAGAATGGTGTTTAGCTTTAGCTGGATTTGGAATAGGATAAGAGGGATTCCTCCAAGCATCTTCAATATAGAAGTCTAAATGTTCACTACATTTCTATATTTTTAAGGCCACAACAGAGAATAAAACACGATCCATCTTATGTTCTCTGCTAAAAGAAATTATAGATTTGTGATATCATGTAGGTTGGAAGGGGCTCAGAACACCTTCTGTCCACAGGAAGGTCAACTACAGTGATTTGCTTGGGCCCATGTGTATTTTCATATGTTCAAAGATGGAGATACTGTCTCTAGAGACTATCTCTGGGCCCCTGTTCCAGTGCCTGATCTCAATCATGGAAAATTTATTTTTCGTTACATTGAAACTGAATTTCACATGTTTCAGTTTATGTTCATTCTCCCTTGTCCTTTCAGTATTTACGTTTTAGAAGAAACTGGATTCACGTTCTCAGTACCTTCCCATTAGATAGCTGAAGACAACAGTAAGGTCCCTCATATATCTTCTCCAACTAGTCACATACTCCAGTTCCCACATCACTGTGGCAACCTTCAGCTTGACTCAGCCCAGCACACCTTTCTCTCTCCTGTTGTGGTGGGCTGACCTCGGCTGGATGCCAATCCAAGCTGCTCTGTCACTCTCCCTTCTCACCTGTGCAGATAAGAGGAAATCTAACAAAAAGCTTATGGATCCAGAACAGGGACAGATCACTCAGGATTACTGTCACTGGCAAAACAGACTAAACTTGGGGAAATTAGTTTGTTACCAATGAAATCTGAGTAGGATAATGAGAAATAAAATGAAATGTTAAAATACTTTCCCCCTACCCATCCCTTCTTCCTGGGCCTAACTTTACTCATGATTTTCTCTGCCTCCTCCACAAAAACAGTGCAGGGATGACACAGAATGGGGGGTTGATGACAGTTCATGTTGATGACACGCTGTCTCTGCCATTCCTTCCTCCTCATGGGCAGGACTCCTCAGTCTTCCTCTGCTCCCGGGTGAGGTCCCTCCCACGGGAAAGAGTCCTCAAAAAACTTCTCCAGATTAAGTCATTCACACAGGCTGAAGCTCTTGATGAACTGTTTCACTATGGATCTCTCCCATGGGATGCAGTTCTTCAGGAACAGACTGCTTCAGTGTGGGATATCCCATGGGGTCACAAGTCCTAACAGCAAATCTGCTCCAGTGTGGTCTTCTCTTTCAATGTGGGACAGGTTCTGCCAGGAGCCTACTTCAGTACAGGGATCTCTTGAGCCAAGTCTCCTTCAGGTGCATCCACATGCTCCAGTATGACTGGATGTATGATATTCTTCAAAGGCTGAAGGTAAATATCTGCTCCATGGTGGACCTCCATGAGGTCCAGCCTGCCTGATCATAGTCTTCACCACAGATTGCAGGGGAGCTCCGCTGTGGTGTCTGAAGTGCTTTCTCCCCCTCCTTTTTCACTGACCTTGATGTCTGCAGTGCCGTTTCCCGCGTGCTCTCATACTTCTCTCCAGCTAAAATTGCAGTTTTTATGCCTTTCTCTAATACATTATCCCCAAAGGTGCTATCACTGCCACTGATGTGCTCATCCTTGGCCAGCTGTGGGTTCATCTTGGAGCCAGTAGGCATTGGCTCTGTAAGATTTGGGGAAGTTTCCAGGAGCTTCTCACAGAAGCCACCCCTGCAGCCCACCTTGCTCTAAAACCTTGTCATTTAGACCCTTTACACTCATAGTGGACTTTTAATATGATGTACTGTCAAAGTTTGTATTTCTTATAACTGATTATGAAAGAGCCTAAGGCGACTAGCTCAAATACAGAAGTCTAGTGTGTACATATATGAAAAGTTAGGTGAGATTTCCAGTTCCATATGTTAAGTGGATCATGCAAATGCAAAGTGAAAGAAATTTCTGGAAAAAACCTATCTTGAAGTACCAGACCATGAGTAAGAAGTATGAGAGAAGACATGATACAGTAGGCAAGAAGATTCTGAGAAATGTAACAGGCAATTTTGAAACTGTTAATGAAAAAAAAAAAAAAAATCACCACAATTCAAAGATGAGAAAGAAGATAAAATAATAAGTAAGAAAAATACAGCGAATATAGGGTATTGTTAAAGGACCAAGTGAGAAGGTCAAAGCTGGGGGAATGGAGAGGGTGCACAAAGGAACATAAATATATACAACTGGAAACAAATTTTTCCAGGGCAACAAGTTGTATATTTCCTTGAATGCATATGAATCTGTTTTAAGAATAAAAACCAAAACTTTTGAATATAAATTAGTCTACATTTTATTTTCTCTTTTTTCTTTCCTAATCAAAAAACATATGATCATATTCAGAGGCTGCTGCATTTTATTTGTCAATGACCACTGTAATATGTTCTGCCAAAAATGGTACATTTCCCTCTGCTGAATTGAGATAAAGATTTTTACTGCATCAGGAAGACAAACATGAGCATTATCTTGACCACATATTAACAGCCTGAATGGCAAATAATCTAATTTCATCAATGAGGCAAAGGAATAATTCATTCATTATAGCATTATCTCAGAAAGAAATGAAAAAACAATCCAAAAAGATAAACTTCATAAATCTGCTGCATTTTTTATGAATATTATATATTTTCTAAAAAAATGTAACAAGTTTTATATATTTTTCCTTTGTGTACTTAAAATAATATTCATAAAGATATTATTACTGAATATATTATTTATACATATTATAAAAACAAATTTATTAATAAAGTGCATAAATATATATTTATATAAACACTATAATGAAGTGACCTGCTATATGTATCTATGGTCTTGTGATAGTATTTCTGAGGTAATTTACTTTAGTCATATTTTTGAAATTGTATACCACAGGCTAAGAACTGTATTTTTGATTTTCTGAAAGTCTTAATATTTAAAAAGTGTAACTTTCTGATCTTAATTTTTATTTTTTTCTTCAGAAGCATAGGGAATGTCTGCAAGAGAGCAGGGTAGGAAGTAAATACAACAAGGCTTCACAAATAGTATTAATTTTTGTAGGCCCTCAGTTCCTAGAAGGAGACTACTAAAAGAAAGCTAGAGAGAGACTTTCCACAAGGGAGTGTAGTGGTAGGATAATAGGGGATGGCATTAAGCTGAATGATGGTAGGCTTAGATGAGATATTAGGAAGAAATTCTTTCCTGTGAGAGTGGTGAGGCACTGCAACAGGTTGCTCAGAGAACCTGTAGATGTCCCATCCCTGGAGGTACAAGCCCAAGCTGGATGGGGCCCTGAGTAACCTGGTCTAATGGAAGGTGTCCCTGCTCATGGCAAGGGGGTTAGAGCTAGATTGTTCTTAAAATCTTTTCAAAACAAACCACTCTATGATTCTATGACTCATCCTCATTTAGCTGACGTTATTGTAGATGCAGAGAAATATAATCACTTGTAGAAACAACTCTGGTTTAGAATATATGAAAAAAGTAATTAACAGAGTCACAATTATCAAGGTTTTTTTCAACATTTAAAATCTAAAGTAAGAAAATTACTTAGCTATCTTCAGACTCTTATCTAGTCCTTAAAAAAACAAGCAAAAAAAAAACCCAAAACCACGGCGAATACCTTAATTTTCTGTGGTGGTGAGCTGTAGCTGACTACCTATTGACAATCTATTTGCTTTCTAGTGCTTTTCCTTCTGTGAATTTTCATTGTCTAATAGTATGATTGTATTTTCTCTCCGGTGTGTGAATGTTGCAATGGGATTAGTAATTTTCATCTATCTCGTTGCCTATTTTCATGAAAATTTTGGCAGTGTTTTTCAAAATGTGTCACTACGGCTGAATTTGCTGAAAGCTCAGCTATAGATTCAAGAGGTGCTGGAGAAGGAAGAAGACAAACTGAAATTCTTAGTGATTGCATAGTCAATTCAGCACCAAGTTTCAACCGTGCAGTTTGGGGCTTCTTTTGCATTTTGCTATACAAGAAATCATATGCGCTGTGTTCTCCTAAGCATAATGTTTAATTTATATGACAATAATTTATGCTGTTGTTGAATTATTTAATTTTCAGGCAGTCTATGCTATAATGTAAGGAATGTGTTTTTCTTTGATTCTAACTATTACACTGTCATCCTGGTGAAAATAGCACATTATGAATTTTATTACTGCATTATTACATTGTATGCTTTTAGAATTGTCAGTTGATGCAAATACTTTGGCAGCCAATTAATTGTATGAGGTTCCTCAGCCAATTCAGATTTTCTTGTTGATTTTCTTTGCAGTTCCTTCACTGAAGGTGCCCAGACAAATAAACAGTATTTGCATTGTGTCAGCATGACACTAAAAGCCAACTAATTTTAGAATTAATCTTTTACAATTCTTTTGACAGAAATTTAGTCTGCTGAACTCAGTCTTTTTTTCTCATGTATCTCTAAATACCTTCCTTTACTGAGTAAAAATATTGCATTAGTAAATCCTGTGTAATGCCACTGGTCCAGATGGAATTGCAAATCTATCCATCAGTACACATAGCATCACACCATCTTCATTAACAATGTGATCTACCAAGTATTGGATAAGGAGTGTTACAACTGAATATATATAAATATGGCCATGTGCATTTATCAGGGTGTTGGGTCTTGAAAACATATCCTTGACAGCCATTGTCATATAACAGGCAGGGCAGCAGTTGGTATACTGGTGCTTATCTTACCTTGCAAGTTTTTAATATAGACATCTCCTATGAGCAGCTACAAACATCTTTGTCTCTTTGGTGAAACACTCACACACTTCTCAAAGCTCCTTGTCTATTGTGTCTCTCTGTGGCGATACAACATCACAAAAATTCTTAGGTACTACTAGTTATGCTGTTACATTGGCTACAGTTCCAGTGCATTTATTTTGGGGGTCAAGGTAAACAAATATTAATTAGGTCTTGATTAATGCACTTTAATTTATGCACATAGTAGACCTCAGCTCAAACCACAGGAGTCAGAGTATGAAGCTGGTTATATTGAGATAAGATGTCCATACTGATTCCCTTTTGATATTTATTTCATCTAGGCACTTTGATATCATGATTCCATTGCAATATGATATTTCATTTTCAACATGTTATGAATAAATATTTATCACAAATAATATCAGGATACTGATTTTAATTACCTTTATCAGGAAAGCAGTTTGACAGCAACCATATTATTTGACTTTTTTAATACCCTGGAAAGGTTTTAAACTTAATAAGATAAAGTGTACTTCACAAGAATTTATAAAACAAAGTATTTCCATATCTTGTATCTTGAAGGTGTCCCTGCCAGTGGTAGATGGCTGCAACTAGATGATGATGAAGGCCCCTTCCAACTGAAACAATTACTTGATTCTGTATCCTGCTAGAGGGTTAATAGGGGAATAAAGGATGAATATGGCAATAAAGAGAAATTTTTTTCAGAATTCTGAGTTCAGCAGGGTGGTCTACTACCAGGTCTGTCATCAGGGACCTCAGAGTTTTAATTGCAAGATTGCTGCCTCTCTAAATACCAGATCTTCAACTCAGCCCTGTTTCATTTTGGGAAACATCTGTAACAGCTGTAGTCATACAGAGTGTTGTGACTCTTAACAAATATATTGCAACATCCTTATTTGAAAACAGCACTAGAAAGATATATGGGTTTTTTAATTTATGATTAGCTCAGTTCTGCTATCATTACTTTTCTCACAAGATCATTATTACAAGTTTTGGCATATGTTTAAGTTCTGCAGTAGAATCTTTGAAATTTTCAATAGCTGAGACCAAGCTAATGAAAACAAAAGATGAACATTTGGACCATGATTCCAATCACTTTTTAAATCTGAAATAGTAAAATGGACACCAACTTTAAGTTGACTATGAGACACTCATTGTGATTTTCCAGGAAAAAAATCTATAATGACTTGTGTCACATATCTTTACTATTTTGGATTTCAATTACAAACCAGAATGGCTCCAAAGATGCCATGATTCAATGCTGTTGATTCAATGACGTGTGAAATAAGAAGGATGTATATTGAAGGCTTCAGTGGCTCTAAAGGCAAGGCTTTTTAAAGGAACTGTTCTGTACAACTTTTTTGATTAATGTTGAAGGGACAAAAACCACAGGTATTAAAAAATAGATGTGGATATGGATGTGGATGTGAATATATTCACTGTGCAATTTATCATGAGGGGAAAGGAATACCGAAAAATGTACTTGCCAGAGCTCAATCTTTTAAGTAGAATATCAGAGGAAATAGATGTGTCAGGGTAAAGCTTTTACCTTACTCGCATTGATGTACACTGTGATCACCAGTCCAGAGTCAAAGAAGTCAATGCTTGTTCCAGCCACTCTCAGTGCTGATGTTCATGCAGTGGTTGGGCTACAACACACAGCAGCTCCACTTTGCTTCTATGTGACTTTGTATGGCTGTATTAAAACATTTCCAGCAGATCTCTACAGGCAAGGGTCCTTGTAGGAAATCAGATCAGTCCACAACAATGCACATTATGCGCCCTTCCACTGTTCTCTGGTATTGTTCTAACAGTTGTTGATCTGTGGCTAGTGTCAAGACTTGTGACACTCAATTTGTGTTTACAGTATCCTAATTTCAGTGGCTCTCCACAGTCTGCACTATACTCAGTTCTTGACCTAGGAGAGGGCACAATATTCCCAGAATCACAGAAACAGAGTTTCTGAGGCTGGAAGGCACCTCTGAACCTAATCTAGTTCAAGTGCCCCCACTGAGAGCAAGGCCACCTGGAGTGGAGTGATCAGGGCCATGTCCAGTTCAGTTTTGAGTATCTGCAGGATAGAGACCCCCACAGCCTCCCTGAACAACCTGTTTGAATGTTCAATCAGCCTTACAGTGGGGAAAAATATGTTTGAACTGTATTACTTCTATTTCAATTCATGCCAGATTTTCCTGTTATTTCTCTTGGTACCATTGGGAAGGGTCTGCATTGATCTTTACTTCCCTGTCAAGTATTTATAAGCATTGATGATTCCCATTGAACCTTCTCTACCCCAGGCTGAACATGCACTCACTCAGATTCCCTGGTATGTCTGCAGCTCCAGTCCCTGAAAAATTTGTGACTCTTTGTGGGACTCTCTCTGTCCACGTCTTCATACTGGGGAGCCATCACTGGACACAGTACTCCAGGTGGGAGGGAACTGGTCTCTGTCTGGACTTTATGCTGTTTCTCGCATTTCACCACTCTTCATGCATTTCACCTCCCAGCTCTTCAGTCACTTTTCAACACACATCACAGACTCGTCATCTACCCCATACTTTATCAGTTTGTCTATGAGAGTGTTACTGGCTAAAGTGAAGAAGATATATTCAACTTCTACTTGAAAAACTTTGTTCATCACTCAAGCAGAACACTGAAACTTCTATTTCTAAATTCTTCTGTGGTGTAAAAATCTTTTCCTTCCAGTTCTGATTTTAGTTTTCCAAATTTGAATGTCTCTGTGAACTTTTCAAATGCAGGCAGACTCAATTTAAGTTTGATAAATTTTGGCAAATAAGGTAACAGATCTGCCAAAGCAGTCATAAATTGGCTGAGAAAATGTCTTCAGAAGAGGTTAAGTCCTGCTTCTCTCTTCTGGTGAAGCAGTAGTCACAGTTCAGGAGTGTTGAATTCTAAAGTCTCTGCATAACTAAGCAACTACAGAAATCTTGACTGAAATCGTGAAAACATTTTGTCATCATTTAGGCATTTTGTGATGCAACAAAACACAAATTCTTGTAGAAATGTAACATTGCAGAAGTAAAGAGATCACAAATATGCCACAGAAATTGTGATTCTTGTTTTGCATAGTACATAGTAAGATTACACCCTGCTTAGAGGTTTTACATAAATAAGCATATGGAATTGCACATTTTAGGAAGAAATTCTGATGAACATTTGCAATTTTCTTCAGTTTATAAAAGTAAATTATTTTAAGCTGCGTACTCCTTGTAATGCAGCTGTCATTAGGCCAGAAGGTTCAAAGGACTACACAATGACAGTTATGATAGCCTCTTAAACCTCTAAAGTCCTATACTGAATATAATATAGAAAATTAGAAGAAATCTTGCTTGATGACTTACACACTGAAGTGATCTCATTCCAACATTTTTGAAGCTAAGATTCAGTTATTTAACTGAAGATGTATGCATTGAAATCCATTCTTCATTGAATGGTGTAGGATTTAAAACAATGCACCTGTTCTGAGGAAGAAAAAAACACAAGTTTTATCCAGGTCAAAAGAGTTGAAAATAAAACAAAGGAAGTATTCTTTTTTCCCTTCATTTAGTTTTTTGATCTTGCTCTAGGTATTCTACTATCTCTAGGTATCCTGCACATAGCAGGAAAATTTAAAAAATTCTAAGTGAATTCAAACAATACAAGTTCTTTACTGTTTTTGTTTTTCAATTTTCTTGGATGTTATTTTTCTTTTCTATCTCTAAGCTATCATAGGAGAACTATATTGAATGATAGAACTTATTTGGGGACCACAAGAGGTTATCACACACCTCTCAAGTCGGACTTTAAAGGCAGTTATATTTTCTCTGGGTCTTATGTATCTCATTTTGAAAATTTCCAAGGCTGTAAATTCTACAGCCTCTCCAGGCAAACACAAACTCCCAGTGCATAACATAAACTCCCAGTGCATAACCTGCATCACCATGGTCTTCTTCACCAGCTACAGGGGAACTTCTGCACCTGTAGCCTACAGTACCTTTTTCTTCACTGGACTTGGTGTCTTCAGGTTTGCATCTCTTATTTTTCTTATACCTCTCTCTCTTTCCCTCCCTATCTCCCACTTTCTGCTGCTGCACAGCATTTTCCCCTCTTCTTAAATATGTTACCACAGAGGAACCACCAATATTGCTAACTGCATCAGCTTTAGTCAGTGGTGGAGCTCCACCTTGGAGCATCCTGGAATTGGCTCCATGGCGGCAGCCCCTGATGTCTACAGAGGCCACTCCTGCAGCCCCTGATACCAAAACCTTGTCACACTAAACCAGTACAATCTTCATTTGTGCAAGCTTTTTTCTTAGTGGCTTTCACATCCTCCCTGCTACACTATTCTGAGAAGGTCATTCAAACTAGAGGTGTAAACTGATCCCAAAGGAATTGCTAACTCTTCCTCTCTGCAAGCAGTGTCTGCCAAGTGACACTGGGTGCTCTGGGTAGGATTCAGCCTTCTTCCTGACTATCACCACTTGATTTTTACAGAGCTGAAATAAACTTTTTTTATACAGTAAAATATTAACAGCTAAATAAAACAAGTGCCACTTTGAATACTTAGTTACTCATTTGGAGTGAGCGGAAGTGTGTGCTTTGTCGCCAGCAGGGTTAAAACATGACATTGCCATTCTTCTATAAATTTCAATAAACACTTGTTTTTAATAGAAGAGTGTCTCCATTACAATAATTTAATTATAATTTCTTTGTGATTCAGAGGCAAAACTGGAAAAGCAGGTGTAAAAACCAGCCACTGCCATATTCATACTTTGACATAGTCTGTCTTTTGAGAAATAAAAAAAACCCAACAAAATCCACGAGATCCCTAGTAATTTCTAAAATCTCAATATATATCTCAATATCTATCTCAATATCTCAAAATGATAAATATTATTTATCATCTTTCACATTTTTCATACTTTGTTTAAAGACAAGTTTTAAAGACAAAACTACATTTATAAATCATAAAAAGCATTTTTCCTTGTAGGTATTAAAAATAAGGAGAAAGAAAATATAGCTGAATTTCAAGTTGATAAATTGATGTATTTACTTCTAGGTATTTTTTTCCTTTACTTTGTTGAAGCAATCAATTAAAATAATTTCTGCTTTCCTCTGTATTCCATTTTTAATGAATTTACTCTTATGTCTTCTACCCTTCAGCAACTCAAACAATAAATATCAGGCTTGAGAACCAGGAAATCTAAATGAGTATCTTAACACTGCAAAGCTTCTAAGCTTTATTGTTTCACAAAGCAGTAGGAAACACCTTGATCATCAAAAAATCTTTATATATTTTTCTGTTGTGCTTATATTCATGCAAGGCTTGTCCAAATATTTTAATTTAAATTACCTTAGTTTGTAAGCAATAAAAGCACTAACCCTTTCCCAAAGTTCATTTTTATGTGAGAAAAAGATGAAATTTTTTTCTGTTGGAAGACAACAGTAAAGGCAGCTGACTGTTATATAGACTGATTATTTTTGTTAAAAAAAAATTGTGAGTTAACCCATCAATTTCAAGTCCTAGTCTACTAAAACAGAAAATTTTTTTAAAAATAAATAATTTACGCACATTTTTAACCAAATGTATAGGCGGGAGTTCAGGAGGCTGCATCCTTTGGGTTTTTTCGTTTTGTTTCTTTGTTTTTCGTTTTTTTTCCTTTGTTCTGGTGGGGTTTTTTGTTTCTTTTTTTTTTGTTTGTTTGTTTGTTTTGTTTTGTTTTGTAAAAAAGGCAAGGTATTGGCTTTATGTGCCAAGATTTTACTTGTGTTTAAATGTTTCCTTCGATCTTTATATAGAATAAAGAACAGTAAATGAGACCTCTGTGCACCATTTATTAGAAAACAGTTACTTCTATCAGTACAGGAAGGTCCAACTCACCTAAATCACATCCACAGCATGAAGTTTCCTTGGAGAAAAAAGGGGCAACTCAAGAGAGTATCTCTGAAATTTAATTTATTGCCAAGTAACATAAATGTTCAGTTACTGAGTCAGAATTTGAGGGGTAAAAAACAAAAAACAAAAACCAACAAACAAACAAACAAAACCCAAAAAACAAAACAAAACAAAAACAACCAAAAAGAACCCAAAGAAGACAGAATGTTAAAACACAGAGAACAGAGATATCCTCTGCCTTCACCTGGGCTCGACCTCTCCCGTCCCCTCGCTCCTGCCGCACCTCACCTTCAGTGGGCCATGGCTCGGCGGCGAGGGCACAGCACCCTTTGTCCCATACCCCTTAGTCTGTCACCCTTCACTGTGTCCTCACCTACTCGTGTCCTCCCCTGCTGCTCTTCGTGCCCGCTCGGCCCTGCTGTGCCTCCCCTACTACCCCTCATTCCTGCCCGGCTCTCTGAGCCGTCCTTGTCGCCCTCCGTGCCCGCCCGGCCCCCTGTGTCTCCCTGCTGCCCTCCGAGCCCCTCATGCCCCCTGTGTCTCCCTGCTGCCCTCCGTGCCCCTCATGCCCGCCGAGCCTCAGCCGCGGCGCTGGGCGGGCTGTGCCGGGCCCGGGCGGTGCGGGGCCGCCTCCCTCACGGGTCAGCCCGCGTGGCCCAATACAGGCCTCCATGCAGGCACAGGCTGCATGGGAATTGTAGTGTTTTCCCCTGGCACAGGTAATTTTTGTCGTTCTATCTCAAAGGTGGTAGGTGGGAAGACAATTTATTCTGTTTAACTTATGTTCAACCGCCATTAAACTCCTCACCTCCTTAGCTACAGATGCATTATTTGATTTTTTTATTTTTTGCTGGCTGTCAAATCTGTATCAATTTCACTGGTATACAGCACACAAGTGCAAAGTGAGGATTTGAATCATGTCAATTTATAGTCATCACTGGGTTTATTTGGAATTAAAAATATGAGTTTTACGAATCAATACAGAAAGTAAGGCTTCCATTTGTCCTCAAGAACTGTTTTATGTCCCTTTGCTCAAAAGCTGGATGAACTTTATGTAAATCAAGGATGAAAAATCTTCTGCAAAGCTATCCTGAAAGATTTTCAGTTGATGAATGTTTTGCAATCATTATATTTCAATTTCTGAAATCTCTAAGGTTATTCTTGTGCATAAATTACGGGGAAAGGCTGAAATTTTTTCATTGCTATAGATTTGTAGAAAAAGTCAACATATAAATATTTCTTAGCTATTATATATTTTATATCTATTTTGAATTATATTTGGAGTTTTTAGAATGTATCAGAATGTTATATAAAATAAATATAATATGCATTATACTACAGACACTGCTCTCTATACTGTGCAGACCCATTTTTTTATTCTCTAACTCTGAACATTACATTATTGAGACTAAATTGAAGAGCTGGTTTTTATTTAGTGGAGCAAGATCTTGCTAACCTAATGAGAAAGTCTTTGAACCAGGTCCACTGGGCTTTTGTGGTTGGTTACCAAAGCTTGAAGGTTTATTGAGGAACAGAGGATCAGGCAGAGTACATGCAGAACAGACGGAGGAGGGATTTTCTTGTACTCTTTGATGAAGTGGGGTGACCAGAAACAGCTCTCAAGTGTCTGTACACAAACAAACATGACACGGGAAGGCCAAGAACTGCAACTTCACATATGATCAGAGATCAATGACATTATTAAAATCACAGAGCCATAGCAAAGCAGTTGGCGCTGCTGGAGATCTGCGATAGACTTACACTGACTCTCCTAGAAAAGTGGGCAGGAAACAAAAGGAGTAAGTGTTGTTTGTGCAAAGGAGGAAGCATAGGGAACTGGCATTGCCTAAGGAGCTTCCTAAAGATATTTTTGTGCCTATGTAATCTATTACTGTGCTCATTAGCGAGTTTCATAATCAGACTATAATACTACAGACACTAAAATGGAGTTTAACTTTTCAGGTTGCTTTTCACTTCTGTATAGTTTCTATTCTGCTGACTATAGCACAGACAATGAAGAAACAGAATAAGAAATTAAATCAAATCTGGGGGCTGTTTTATGAAGGCAGGATAGGATGTGCAGAAAATTTAACTGTTTAGTTCACTATAGATATCTAGATAGATATCTAGATGCGATATATTGTGTACCAGATTAAAGCTTGATCTACCATGCAATCTCATTAAATTCTCAATGAAGTCCACAAATTTGCATGTCCTATAAATCACTGATGACATTGCCTGTCTTTGATCATCCATTTTATTGAAATTTACGGTTCAATATTTATGTAACATTATTGTGAATATCACTGAAAGCTACAAGAATAAGCAGAAAATTAAACAAGACATAACTGGAGAAATATATTTTCAAAATTTATTATGAAAAATGGACAGTGAACAGCAAACCAGGAAGACAAAAAAAAGATAAATTTTTGTAAAATCAGCTTTCACTGGCGATTATTTGAACATGTACATGTTTCACTTTTTTTTTTTTTAATGGGCATTTACTCATAAGATTGTATAAAAAAAAAAAGAAGAGAAAGAAAAACTTCAGGTGTCTATGGACATAAATAGAAACAATCTATGCCCACAAAAAGAAAAACAAAAACCAAACCCCCAAAACATTACTTTCATAATCATCACTCATCATAATATCAGTGATACTCCCTCTGCACAAAAGCCCTTATGCATATTCAAACAGAGATCTTAATTTGAATTCATAATACCTTGAAAAGCTTTTTAATGCCAAGTCCCCTCTTGCATATCACTTTGAAAAATCTTCCCCTTTCAGCATATGGTTAAGATCAGAGAAATATGTTAAGAAAAATGACATCTTGGCAGTAAGTGTATTTTTTGCATTTATGTCTTCATATCATATTTGAAAGATTGTTATTGGATAAAATTCCAGTACATGACCAAATCAATTTAATTTGATAGTATGGAGTATGAATTTTAAAAGTAGATTTTTAAAAAATATCAGCATTAGCTATGTATTTGTAATTGAACAATGTCAGATTCTATCAAGTCTTAACTGAAGCGTTGTCTTCTTACAATTTCTTTGAATGTTTTTCTTCATATTTGATAACTGGAAATTAAAAGAATAGGGACACACAATTCTTTCAAGGCATTTAGGTGTTTAACCACTGTTTAGCTACTACATTTTGATTGCAGTGCTTGTAGTGTGTATTGGGTGTGGGAACATGCAGCACATACAACCTAAGCTGCATCCTTAAGCCATCTTGATAACCAAGAAACAGATAAAGATATTATCATTAACTGCTATCTTCGATCCTTTCACTGATATTATTTTCCCATTTCCTGGATTTCATCCAACCCCTCCAAATGTTCAAAAATAGGCTGGGATTTGGGATGCATTCATCAGGATGGGTGCCTATGACAGGAGAAGCAGGACACTTGATGATTGGGCACCTAAACCAGCCAGACCCAGGTCACTCCCACACTGTCCTTGCTCCTCACAAAATCCACTCTTCATTGCTTCATATTATTCTTGCTGTTTTGCTCCCTGCAACATAAAACTTGTACCACAGGTTATTTTTTCCCCAAGATTAAATGTCCTTGAGGCACACACTGGGTTTCCCCATCTTGCTGCTTTATCTACCAAGTATACTGTGGTCCTTGAGGAAAGACAGTCCCATGAATGGGCTTGTCCTTTCCCATGGGAAAAGGGGGTTAGGCTCTTAAATGCCTTTGAGGATTCCTATCCTGGCAGTTTATTAGAGATAATTGAGAAAGTTACAGAAAGGCTGGGAAAGAGATTATCGTGGATCTGCACCAAATTACAGCAAAGCTTATCTTTACTCTCTCGCTTATTAACATCTCCTTGCTGGGCTTGTTGTACATTGATGAAGAGCAGCCATTGTTCCTCTTCCTAAATGTTCCCACACCAGCTATTTTATTTTCAACATTTCACAGCTGACATCTAAGAAATTATGCTGCTTCAATTGTGATAGAAATAGGGGTACTAAAATCAGGTTGCACAAGTTACATTTATTACATTCTCTTTTATTTGTCAGGGTCTTGTGCACTATGAAGTTAGTGGTAGAACTCCTGTCAACAGTGTTTGTCAATTTACTTGAAGATCAAATGTTTTTTTTACACTGTCTTCACAAATTAAGGCACCAAACATTTGCATGGGCATAATGTTTTTCAGTCTTCTCACAGATGGGAGCTTTTACCTATGGGGATCTGATTGCAAGACTTGAACCAAGCAAATGGTATTGTAGGTGGAGGAAAATAAGATCACAGTACAGTAATTCTGTTATTTATTATTCTAATGCTTGCAATGCACTAAGGTGATATCCAGTGTGCTTTTGGTTATATATGCAACAATTAAATATAGAAAATATTAATTGTATTTGTAGCAAATTTGCTACATGAATCAGAATAAAAACCATGGTGATTTTTTTCACACTTTGGAAAAATCTCTAAACAGCTGTGGCTCAGAATAAAGGGCACAGTCATTGACATTGTTTATATTTTTAAATAGTGCCACACTAATTTTTTAAGTTTTTGTATACTATAACAACATTGTTAGTAAACAATTTGTTATATTTCTAGGAATTAAGATATTTTTCTCTGTAATTTATTTGTGAAAAGCAAAACATGAGTTCTGCAGTACTGTATGGAAGTTTGCTAAACTAGCACTTTAAAATTATTTTTCTGAGAGTCTGTAATAAATGCAAACATTATATTCTTCTTATTTATATATTTACTTATTTATTGATTATCCTTTCACGGTATAGGGACAGAACCTGTGGTGTGATGAGATTTCTCAGTTTTATTATATTTAGTGTATTTAAGGTGGTCTAGCTAATTAGTAAGAATAAATTTAAGAAATGTCTTTTACTTTGTTGTTGTTGTTGGTTTTAGTTTGTTTTGTTTTGATATGTTTTTATCTGGCCATGGCAAAATTTAGCAAAATTTTTAAGAGAAAAAACCTGGTATTTTAAACTCCTAAACTGCTGTAATAAAGAATCATGAATTTTTTTCTTTCTGCTAGAAGTGAGTGTGTCAGAATTCTTTAAATTTTTTGTTCTGTGATCCTATACTCCTTAAAGTTGTTTTATGTTTTTTCTATCCTCATCATTAATTTTTCATCAGTATTGACTAGGTTTTCAGACTCTGGGGCAAGTTTTATTCATGTTAGCACTCTAATTGAGCAGAAACAAGAATTGCTTTTCACATATGCTTCAAACATTTGGGTAATAAACTGAATAACTAATGCAATATGGTATTTCCATTCAAGTTATTTACAAGATATTTCCATTTTGAAAGAAAAAAACCACTAAATTTCCAATTAATTTTATTAGCTCACAGAAATAATTTTAACATAGGATCCTCAAAAATAATTTTTGAGTTATTAGGCATATATATACTATAAATAAACATCAGACCTTTGGAATTCTGACATCAAATGACAGAACGTCAGTCATTTGAGAATTGTTTCAACATAGAGTAAGTTTTTTTAGAACTGATTTTGTGAATATCCAACGTTTGCTGGTATATCCAGCATAAGATTACACGCTAAAACATAGAGTAATTTTGGTTTCAGAGTCACCACGGAGAAAAAAAAAAAAATCATTGTGATAATTGGTCAAATAGTTTCACAGTTATCCATGTCATGAAAAATGTATTCCTATGGTAAAATTTTAAATATTTGATCTATTAAAACTTATTTTACTCTGATGTAAACCTCTTAATTGTGAAAGCATCTTGCATCTGACATTAAAAAATCACTCATGAATGTCTGTGGTTTGAAAAAAAGATCATCTGTCTGAAAATGAGAAAATTATATCTTTAGAATAAACCTAATGACTAGATATTCACTAAAATAAAATATGACAATACAATTAGTGTACAATGGGTAAGATTCTCATGCTTCTTTATTCAGTATAATGTGGCTGCTGCACCTCATGTGTCACTGCTTATGATTGGGGTTAAACTCAACTTGATTTATGAAAATATTTTTGGTTAAAGCAAAAGAGGAAATAATGAAATTTTTGCATGCTCTTGTAAAGTGACTGAAACAATGCTAATCCAGATTTATAATTGCTAATAAATAGAAAATTGTAAATATATGTGCTGGCACAAGTATAATAATCCTTAAGTAATTGTTACTTGAAACAATTACTTTTTTAACATCTTAATTTTGGAGCAGCATTCCAAGTCAAAAGTGTTAAAAAGTCTTAAGCAATTATTCACCTAAACAGTAAAGAACTTTACATTCTTAAGGGATTATTTTAATTTGTTTGTTTTTTTTACAGCTGAGGATGCTTGTGGAGGAACTATGAGAGGATCAAGTGGAATTATCTCGAGCCCCAACTTTCCTAATGAGTATCATAATAATGCAGATTGCACATGGACAATTGTGGCAGAGCCTGGTGATACTATCTCACTCATATTTACAGATTTCCAAATGGAAGAAAAATATGATTATTTGGAAATAGAAGGTTCTGAACCACCTACAATAGGGTAAGTCAAATCTTGCAATTTTAATGTAATAAAAAAGTAAAAGATGATGAAATGTGAAAATACAATTTTTTGTTACTTTTCCTTTTGTGAATATGTAGTCTTGCTAAAAAAAAAAAACAAAAACAAAAAACCACAGTAATAATTGTGACCATAGCATAAATGTTGATTTTTCAATTGCAGCTGTAAAATGGTTTTTAAATATATTCCAAAGATGTAGCATCAAGATGAAGGGCACTGTAGACTCATTTGCTTCATTCTCTGTGTCTAACCATTCAACAATTTTTGTATTAAAAATGTATATATTTAGAAACAGAATGGGATGGACTCATGAACTGTTAAGGATTGGTGAAGCCTTCAGAGATTTTCATAAAATGAGAAAGTGAATGACATAGAGGCTTTCAGCACAGAGCTGGGGGAATTAGCATGGGCCACAGCCATTAGTCATGGTGTGTCTCTGGAGGAGTTTCTGTGCAGAGAACTGTATGCACAGCCTCTAAATTATGTGAGTATGGTTGGTAATACATTTACCTAGAAATATCCATCCTGATGTGTGAGATAAAGCACCCTGAGCTGAGTAGTCAAAGTGCTTTTTGACCCTGGTTTTACTCCAAATATAGCACCTTTAAGGAGAGTGACTGCTTGTTGACTTAGTAGTAGTAACAATGTTTTTGCAGATCTGACTTCCTCAATTCTTAATCTCAGTGTAGATGCGTTACATAGATGTTATAACACAAGTACAAGAAATAAAACAATAAAAACCTATTTCAAGATCAAATTCAGTTAAATAGGAAAAATATATATTATGCTGTATATTATGTATATATATTCTGTAATATTATATATTATACACAAAAAGTAAATTATACTTTCAGTGGTTTCTGGTCTGGCAGTTTTATGTTAACACAGCATCACACTACTCAAGAAACATTTCAATATGACAAATCTTTGTGTTTGTTTTAGTGGTTTAAATATGCTGTTGATTCACAGAAAAGAAGTTGCGTACAAACCCATAAATCACAGTTACGGTCTTCAGTAAAATCTTGATCTCTTAACTGGCTCATAAAGCTTTATGGAGGTTCTGTATGACAGACAGAGGCATGTGTACAACAGGTGATACAAATTGTTGGCTAGATATATTAAGGTCAGTAGAGTCTTGTTTTCTTCATATCAGTATAAACCCCCTCCAAAAGTAACATAGACCAAATAAAATGGTTTTGACTTTATAATAAGAAAAAATATCTAAAATTAGATAATTATATTGTTTTAAAAGCATCAGACTAGGTTTCTATGTGTTGCTTATAAGTAATATATTTTTACTGCTTCAGAGTGTCATAGAAGTCTATACTCTTAAGATTTAGAAAATAGTTTTTTTTTATAATTTGAATTAATTTATACTGCCACCTACATAGTTAATTACCTGTATTAGAATATTACTTAATTGCCGTTGAGTTTTTCAAGCTCTTAAACTGAAATCCTTTGAACTGGCTGTCAGCTAAAATATATTTAAATAATAATTTACACTAATTAGTGAGGTAACACCAATGACATACAGACGTTATGAGTCACTTGACTAGCTAAATGTGCATTTGATTTTTCTTGAATGTGTTTCATTTATTCATTTATGATCCTCAAACAATAATTTCATTTTTTGTTCTACAAATACAAGGCTGTATTCAAATGATAAAATAAGATTACTTTATGTATGGAAATTCCCATTATCGGTTTACAAAACATAAAAATTTACAATGCTAATTTAATAATTGCTTATGTAGAGAAACAGACTGAGAGCATACTCTTTTTTTTAGCTTGTCATTTGTATTCCATAAATTGGACTGGTGTGTTCAATTATGGAAAAATATCCCCCCATATGTTGGGGAAAACAGCTTTGGAAAGCTTAATTAACAGCAATTTGTTAATTAGATTTAGAGTGGTAATACGATATATGCTCTTTGACTAAACTAAACCCAGGTTCTTTATCTTTCATTTTGGGAAAAAAGCTTACCTAATTTTCAAAATTACTGAAAACTTACTGGGTGATCTGGATAATAAGTATTATTATAAAATAATTTCTTAGAAAACTTGGTGCTATATAAGACTATTACAACTATTGATTTAAAAAAAAACCTTCAAATTTTTCTTCTGTACATCTGCTGTGTAAAAAAATATCTCTACTTTTTGTTTCTAACTGAAATAAAGAACCAGATTATGCATCAAGTAGATAGGCTGGGGTTATACATAAGACAAAGCTTGGAATGCTTTTTGAAGTGCTAAATTTCTGTAGTTTTCTAGTCAGTTGTTATAATATTTCAGATATGGCAGTCTTTTCTCTCAAGAAAATCTTGATAAGCCATTTTCATTTAAGTAGCAGTAAAAAATTGTGTAGATGCCCTTCAGGGTTTTTGTTGTGTTGTTTATTATAACATTTGCCAATTTGAGTTGAATTATGGAATTTCTTAAAGTTTGAAGTGAAACTGAAGGAAAATTATTAGTTTGAGGAAATTATTTTCCCCATTTTTTTCAACAAAAAAACCCAACCTGAAAGTAAATAAGATCTAGTGAATTGTTCCTTTTTGTCTATGAAAAACCAGGCCATGCCAAACTAATACAAAAGTTGACAGTTGTTTTTCCTCCATATTTGGAGAGCTTGATTGTTAATTAACATTTTCTGTCTCTTAATCCCATTATTGTAATGCTATGAAAGAAACAAAATGATAAACAGAACCTGTAAGAAGTATTAGTGAAGAATATGCTAACTATTCATAATTAAAGTGAGAGTGAGTAGGCAGATAATATCTGTTGTGGAAAAGGGTATTATCTAGGGTTGGGATTTTTTTGGGAGGGAAATGCAGTTATCCATGTTAGATATGTACATGGTCACTTTTGTTGCCAGTTTGGTTACAATGAAAATTAACCTTTAGGAGGCATTTAAAAATTAACTGTACTGTTGTGACAACCTTCAACAGACACATGCATTAATAAAACAGATTCTCAATCAGATCTTTTTAACAAAGTGGTTATTTTATTTATTGAGTTTCTGACCAGGTGAGATTTATTTTCAGTCAATTTACTTGCTGAAATAATGCTCATATCAAAAGCTAGAGAGGAAAACCTCTGTCTGACGTAAATTTGGCAGCGCAGGGATAGAAAATTATGCATCAATAGTACAACTACCAATGAAAATAATAACAAGTTGAAGGAAACAAAGAAAAACAGACGAGACAAGAGGCAGAAGTTCTCAAAAGAGATTAAAATAGGAGGGGAAAAAAAAAACTACCTCAGGCCCAGCATTTATTTTCTTGAAAAATCATATCAAATTAGAAAATGACAAGTAAAACAGTCTATTTTTTAGTAATAAAGGCTGTTGATACTGCTTTAGATAATTATTACTCTTGTCTCACTAGTAAAAAGTTTTAAAATCTGTTTTTAATGCTCAGAGGAAGGACTCAGGAAGGCAAGATTTATGAGTAGCATGAATTTAATAAGTATGCTAAAAGCCCCAGATGAGAAAGTTTGTAATCTGATAACAGTTGAATTTAAATTTAAATAATAGTTGCAAAATTGATACTGCTTATCATAGGAAAAATGATTTCAGAAGAATGTTGTAGTTGTAGCCAAATGGGTAGAAAATTTTATTCAATTAATAGAGCAAACAAAGTGCAATTATCAGAGTATTTGTTTACTGATAGTGGATGGAATTAATTTTTACTGGATTTAATTGCAATAAACCATACATACACACACACACACACACACACACACACACACACAAAAGAAAAAAAAAAAAGTCACTTCAAAAAGGATCCAAGTTTTGGAGTGCCTAACTCCTTTACTTCTACTTTACTAAATCAAGGAACAGAAGGTAACAGAGATAATGCTTAACTGTGGAACAGAGAGAGCAAAAAAACAGGAATAGGAAGAATACCAATGCTAAAAATATTATCTGGTTTGAGTCTTTGATAACCTGTCCATTGTGTCTTATCATTTTTATCTTTTTCTGAAGGACTGAGAGCAAAAATGTTCTTTGCTTTCTTAGAAACAAAAGCTTTCCATAGAAACCAGGTATTTTTGTCCTTTACTGTTTGCTTCTGTGATTTAATTTTTTGCTTGGTTGATTTAGAATTTCACCTGTGGCATTTCCATGAGGTCATTTGGAACCCTCCAAGAAGCACAATGCATTCTGTAATGTGTAGGTTCAGGCACAATGATAGTGTTTAGGAGGGGAATTTGTTACAGTGACTGTGGAGGTTGATGGCATGTTTTTCATTGTTCTATTGTGTGATTCTGTTTGGCAGTCATCATCTGAAAACAACTTTGGAACTGGCTTTACATGTGGTACTCTCAAAATTCTTACTGAAACATGAGAAAGATTGGAATCTAAGAGAGGAATAAGATCTCAAATAACATGTTTAACAGCAGAGGCAGAGGCTTCTCTTATGTTATTTTGTACTGTTTGTACATGTATGTTTCTGAAGAAGCAGAAGACCCTTCCATGGTGAACACCCTGTTTTGATGGGGTTTTCTGCATTCACTTCTCTGGTTGTAGTTCTAAGTGCAGTCATAAATGTGCCTCAAACTCTCCAGGCAGAATAGACACATATAAACATGAGTTACCTGATGAAAATCTGTCACTTAAGGGTAGAGACCTTGAAGTCTACTCTTCTTATAAGAGAGTTACTTTGTGGCATTTAGATTCAGTGCTTAGTGAAAGGAGAATATGATTTCAAGAAATTGTCATATCCATGGAAATACAATTCAACCAAAGGTGTAAATCCAGAGTTTAATCCTGGAATTCAATATGTTATGCATGTGTCCACATAACCAGGTTATAAGGAAACACAAGACAGACAAAACCTTATAAGCAGGATAGTTCAGCATGGAAGAGAACTCAGGAGCTGACTTGTCCAATCTACTGCTGAAAGCAGACTCAGTTCTCAGGTAAGCTAAGGCTGCTCAGGCCTTTATCCAAAGATGGATTCTAAACCACCTATGTGGACAACCTT